CACACACACACACACACACACACACACACACACACACACACATATATATATATATATATAGAGAGAGAGAGAGAGAGAGAGAATGCACTATATAATATCGATAGATAGATAGACTGTGGACTATAATTTTCCAGGGCAGGAGAGACAGCAGGAATGCAGCTAGTTGTGGGGTAAAGGAGAAGTCAGCAGAGTTCAGAAGTGAACATCACAATAGATTGTGTGTTTATGTTCGTTTCTTCTACAAATTCACATACAACTTATATTGTGTACTCTTAGAGCTGAATGCCAGCTCTCCATGAGTATCTGCCCTGTACCTTGCCTCCGTCAATATCTCGCCTCTCTGCACAGCTTGAGCTCCCATAACATGTTGAACATTCTAGGTGGGTGGATGTGCGTCTAAATGCACGTCGCATGATTACACCTTCCATGGAGAATATATTTCTAACAGTGTCAGTTTAAAGCTTTGAACTTCAAACACCAGAATCTGCAGTGCAAATACATGCTAGAGGGAAAACTTCCTAGATGAATTCCATTTTCCTTCAGTTAAATGCTCTTATTTGTTATCAGATGGTAACAGTGCATTCTGGAAAATATTGTGATAACCATGAGTTCTATAAACATTATGATACTGACCTTGCAGTTGTCTCATTTTATGTTTCATTTTATCTAGGTCGGCCAAAACTTTATCTTTTTCCAACCACTTTTGCCGTTCCTTCTTCTCTGCTTTTTGCACAGCTGCAATACAAATATATATATAATTTCTACTGCTGCTGCTTTCACAAATAAGTTAAACAGATCCAGTCATAAACATGTAATTGAAAGGTAATTGTCCTCATAAGAACCCCTCTGTGAAAACAATTCAACCTTAAGGACATCTTGGTAGAACATGAGTGGAATGAAAAAGTAGACTATTACATTTACAAATTCAATGCTGCTTACTTAGATTGATTTTGCAAACCTATTCATGCTTTTACTGAAGTAGACCCTACCGAACTAACCAGGCTATACCTCTGAGGGCATGCATATACTGGCCCTTTAGTGTGGGCCGACATGTCTAAGTAGTGTCACTTGAGATTGGGGAAAGGAGCAATATGTCATTTGGCACAATTCTCATGTCCAAATGGCATATTGACCTCAAGCATCCTCTGGTTCCTTCTGTTTTCAGTTGAATACTTCCCTTGCTCCTCTGTAGATGGGCAGGAGAAGTGAAATTATTATTTTTGCCCATAGAAGACCATCACTGATGCACTGAACCACTTAGATTAAGTTTTTAAAAAATCTTTCCTTTGTGTGCAATACCTATTGAGAAACTGCCTGCAGTTGAGGTTTTGTTAGAGTGCACCAACCTGGACCAAAAAAAGGAAAACTGATAGGGGTTAAAAATGTGCTGGTTGGACAGCCCTGGGGGTACATTTCTCTAATTGCAAACCAATTTACCTCTGCAATGCACCAAATACCAGGACAAATGCCTGTCATGATCCAGATTATGTGGGTTAAAGCATGTATGAAGATGGGATGTGTAGTTGTGAAGAAATGTAAAATGAATCTATATTGGTTCTGTGTAAGAATGATTTTGTATAATGGAAATGTTGTCCAAGAGGGCTGTGGGAATGTTTTGACTTTAAGCCAGTCCAGCCAAGACAAGATAAGACCAGGCAGGTGTTATAGTGGAGAACAAAATAGAGGCAAACAACACCTGCTTTCTCACGAGTAGAGAAGGAGGGGTTACTTCTACCACCTTACACAGTGATTGGATGACATCGTGGGAGAAGAAGAAGACGGGAGGAGTCTAGAAGACAGAAAAATGAACTTCTGCCATGTGCAGTGTTCCTTTTTTCCCTTAGTTGGAGCCAGAGATTTTTCTAGGTCTTTTTTCCTTATGCCCAGTGCTAGGAAAAGGACTTGGGAGATGTAGAGACTTGAAGAAAGAGAAGGGGGGACGCTTTGTGCCTTTTGCCTACCCTAAGGAAAGCTTTTAGAGATTTTTTAGAGTTTTGTAATTAAAAGGGAATTAGTTGCCTTAATTATAATTGTAATAAGCCTTGGAAATGTATTATTGCTATGCTTATGCATCAAACTGAATTTATTCTGTAAAGCTATATTTTTTCAATAAATAAGATCAATTATAAAATCTTTTGGTCTCTTGAACAGCATAGCCTGTCACAGCCATTCCCAGAGGGGGAGGCAAGGCCACAGAATGCTACTGAGTCCTACTTTATTGAGCTTTAATAGATTTTAGGACTACAAAGCTCATATGTATCTTCTTGCTGAACTTAGTTAAGTGTAAGCAAGTATATTTTTAGGACAGACTTGCGAGAAGGGGTCTGTTGTACACCCTGGCCAAGGTCACCAGGACTCTACCCAGCTGTTTAGGGGTACTCAGGCTCCCCATTGCTCTCTGTCCACCGATCAAGCTCTCCCTAACAGGAAGCTGGGTCGTGACAATGCCTGTCTGAATGAGCCCTGAAATACCATGAATAGGACCTTACAACAAAAAATGATGATGCTATAAATTTTAAAAGAGACATTAAATTTTTGTCTGTGATTATAATCTCATATGTATGCAGAGTTATATGATCTTTTTAGATCCCAAGAACTGCAGAACTATCAGATATGATCACTTCCATATGCTACAAACATCACCTGGAACCGAGAGGAGGTATCTAAGATACTATGTAGTTTGCTTATTTTCCTTTGCTTTGCTTCTGTCCAACCTTTTTCCTAAAAAAGGGCAGCAAGATGCACAGGATGTTATATTCATATCTATGTTTGATGTGGTGTGGTGGTAAATCTGGAAGTGCAGGGGCTCATAACCACACCCTGCCTGATAAGGCATTCTAATCATGCTCAGCCACTGCTTAGAAATCATTGAGATGGAAGGTCTTTGTAAAGATAATGGCTCTAAATTACCCTTTCAAGATGAAACCATCTTGAAATACTTTGCATTAAAACAGGAGTGCTTTGCAACTATATGCTATTCCTGTAAATAACCCTCTTTACTGTGAGGATTGCACCTGAACTTAGAGGAAACAGGAGACCCTGAGGTAGAAGATGTCATTGTTCCCACTACATAAAAGTCCCAGGGCTTTGATGCAGCAAGTCCTGTTCCTCCTGCCATTCTGTATTTTCCAATCAAAGGAGTCAATCAGAAATTTATTTATTTATTAAATTTATATCCTGCCCATTTAGACCACATCTACTCTGGACAGTTTACAATAGAAATATCATAAAAGAATTAAAAACAACAATTTAAAGCAGTAATGTTAGTATCATTCAAGATAGATTAAAGTATAGATGAAAATTAAAACAGAAAAGTAAAAATCAAGTATTGACAGGAAACAAGGCCTGCCTAAAGAGCCAGGTCTTAAGTTAATTTGTGAGTGTTATCTATAACAACTTGTTGGAGCCCATCTAATATATCACCACATCATATTTTTACATTATGTATATCATGTGCCATTCAGTTGGAACTGACTTACAGATATCTTAATGGGGCTTTCAAGGTAAGCAGGATATTTACCTTTTTTTAAATAAAAAAAAAATCAGTTCTATACCTCTAGTGAGTTTCCATAGCTGAATAGGTATTCACACCCAAGTCTCCTGAGCCTAGTCCTTTACCTTATTCAGCACACCACCCTCACTACATTTTTTTCCTTTTGTATTATATCACGATAGTAATGTTCTGTGCATCTTCATTTTCTTTCATACATTATTCATTTTCTTTGATCACTTACTATCCAAAGGCATGAACGGTTCACCACTGGAAACCCAGACCTCAACCGGATTTCTAAGAATGATGGTGAGCAAAAAATCATCAATCAACTTCAGACTCTCCGGAGTCATCACAGGTGATGCAGACTTGACATTCATTTCCTCCTCTGCCTCCTTATCTTAATTTAGAAAGAGAAAGTTATATGATTTATCATTTGATCTCTTTTCAACTGATGGTTCGGTGTCATTCTGTGGACTTAACGCACTTTCAAATCATTCTGTGTCCTGTCTGTGTTTATGGTCCCCTGTTAAATAGTTCAGATTTGTTCTAGTAATGGAAACACTGGATTAAAAATACTGTAACATTAACTGTCCTGTTGTTGTGAAGGGGAAATGCTTTTGTTCTATTTTAAAAGACTTATTGTTTATATGTAATACTGCAGACTGATATCTGAGTGGAATGACTTTCAGTTATTCTCTCCTGCTGTGTACCAGACAAAAATAAAAACAAAACAAAACAAAGGAGAAGCACTTTAAAGGCTATCATATTTCAGCGTGGGCTTTTGTGTATACATCCACTTCCTCAGATGTATTAAAGTGAAGCAAAACCATAAGTTATATACACGGTAGGCAGAACAAGTAGATTAACAAGCTGGCAATATCACTGTTGACACGAGTGATTAACAGTATTAATGTTGATTGCATACACATTTTGGTTTCAAATAACATTTAAACAATGTTTTCCTCCTTATCTGTGTCTCCCTATGCTTGCAAAGACTAACTTGGTTCCTTCTTTGAAAAACACTTCCTGTGGTTACACTTTGTTAGACCTACCAAGAAGGCACTAAAAAGCATGAAAGCTGCTGAGACCACTGTTTTTTAATGAGCAAAGTGATACAGAAATAAGAGAGGAGGGCAAATGGGGAGGGTTTGCTCATATATCCTTGTCTTTTGCATTGTTTCTTGACATATAATGAATGAGGGAAACTAGGCAGACAATCAGATCTGATGGGGGCATCAGACAATGCAGTGCTGTTACATTTCACCTGAAGTAGCTCACAAACTTTCTAGGAATTTAAAAGTTAGAAATATTTGGTCATCTCTATCATATGGTATGACGACACAGGGAGGAAAATGTGAATGGATATGGTGTGAAGTCACACCAGGGAAATCATGTTTCCCTAGGTTAATTTGCTTCAGCCAACCACACAAAAGTCAGCAGAGAGAGGGGAAGAAATCAGCCTTGTTTGCAGCTTGTTAACCATTTGAATTTTCTCATTCCAACACCTGGTGCCTTGCTCTGTTTTTCCCCTCTTTCTTTTGTATTCTATTTCTTCTTCTTTTCCCCCCTTTTAAATGCTTCCTGTTCCATTACTAGGACAGCTTGCTGACCAAAGGGTGGTGGGAGTAAGGAGCCAGCAGAGAAGGATTTCACTTCAGCCTTGATGCAAGCTTGTCAAGGGAGAAAAAAAGAGTGAAGACTCAGCAGAAAGCAAGCAAGCCAGCAAGCACAGGGAGGGAAGATGAAAGCAGACTCAGGCATCAGGTGTAGGGAAGAGAGAATTCAAATGCCCTGCATCTCTCACTCTCTCACTGCTGCTGTAGCTGGCTGACATGGATGAAGATAGAATGGCTTCAAAATCTTCCACATTGGCTCAAGCAATCACAGCACTTGAAAGGATGCAAATACATTCAATTCCAAAAGCAGACATCCCAGCAGCGGGGGGGGGGAGTACCACTTATAGGAGGGAAACTGTGGGTTGATTCACATTTACTTTTACACCATGTAGTCAATATCAAATAATGTGAATCAGACTGTCCCAATCCCAGACTACTTCCCACATTATTTATCAATGTAGTTGTAGACGAAGCAAGTTCTCACACTAAACATGAGCCCTTTCCATCCTGTCTGAATTCACAAATCCTTACTAGTAGAAAAGAGAGAACAACCAAGTAATCTTTATATTATCAGGACTGAAAATAATGTTTGCATGCTTTAACAAAGAAAACAAGCCTGTATGGATATTGTTCCTCATGGGCAGCATAGCACCCCTTCTTAACAATTCAGTACCACTCTTTTCTGACATCTCATTCAGTTTATTTATTTATTTATTTATTTGATTTATATCCCGCCCATCTGGCCTGTAAGACAACTCTAGGCGGCTAGTTCTACTTCTGAATGGGTTTTCTGCTGTTCCTCCCTTTTGCTTTCTCCTCACAATCCTCCATACATTACAATCAGAGGCTTCTATTTATTCCACAAAGTTAGCACTTCATTAAATAAATATCAAGAATATAAAGCCTATTTATGCAACACATTATGTACGCTATACTTTATAGACTTCAAAGAAGTGTCAGTCTTTTATTGCATTGAGAAAAAAATGGCTGTTAACTGCCAAGATTTACCAAGATTTTCTTTTCTGAACAGATTATTAAACATAGTTTTCAACCTTTCCCAGCTTTTGCTGTAAATATTTGAACTGATGGGATAAGAATCTGTAAACTTTATAAGCAGTTGAAAGATGCCTAATACAAAGCAGCAGCAAAATTTTAATGAGAAGCTTCTAGTGGGCTAGTGCATTGCAAAGGAAATCAATAGGCAAGGAATGGTGAATAAAGCAGATAAGATGAGTCTTTTCCCCCCTAAGCATCTTGGATAAAGATTAGAAAATAATACAAAGAAAACAAACACAGAAAAGCACAATATTAGCAAGTAAAATATTATAGGAAGTAGACTAGCCCTAAATTAAAACATGAAAAAAGAAATCATGGAGAAAATATCTCCTTGTTTTACTACTAGATAATGAGCAAATGTGCATGCTTGACTATGTCCAGTCATATCTAAAATAAATACAGATCTGAACTTAAAAAAATAATCCTAGATCAATACCATGCTGGAAAAGAATTTCTAAGCTTAACAAGAGATAGAAAATACATCAGTCTGTTCACAGTTCAAAAAAGGCAATAAAATCTCCAATGACATCCATGTTGGTCCATGAGCAAAAAACAAATTCTACAATTGAGCAATACCTTTATTAGAACATCTGCCATACAAGCAGTGCATATACCAACTCTTCCTTTAGCAAGTAAAACATAATGTAAATTTATGATAACGATGATGACAGTGGCTGTACAGTCTTGCCTGAAGTGTGGTCAGTTCCTTCATTCCATTAAAAAAAAGGGTGTGTGTGTGGATTCCAGCACATTTTGCAAATATTAGCTAGAATAAAATCCATAGTGGTAACCATGTTACTCTGTTTCATCAAAAATGAAGAGTCTAATGGCACCTTGAAGACTGACAGAATATTGTAGATTAAGATGATGTGGACACGCCCCTAATGGGGCAATGTTTCAGTTTCCCTTGAATCTCAGTTATTAGCATTGGAGCTCCCATATTGCCGCAAAAGAAGGGAGGATTCAACTTGAAATCATTAAACTGGAATTTATTACGAGGTTCGATTCCATTTGTTTTGGACTTAATTTTGGCTAGTTTTATTGCTGATCTCTGTTGTTCTGTATTTCTAACCATACTCAGCTTGAATTCAACTGAGCTTTATATGGATATGGAAAGAGTTGTACATTTTGCAGTTCATGACCTCCAGCTTCTCTGTTTAACAGAAGGGAAATGAGTGTGATGTTCTTGTGAAACTACAAAAATGTGTATTACAACACTGAATTCTGTCAGCATCATAAAGAAATTTAACTTTTACATGAATGTACTTTCAGCAGGAGTATGTTGAATGCAGTTTTGGGGGTCATTAAATAGTTAAAGTAAAGAGAACTTGCAGACACATTCTAAAACAAAAGAAAACAAAGTTACACTTTTATTCAAGCAGAGACTACCAGTGTTAATGACTCCATGAGCCTCCATTATTCTTTATGAAAATAGAAAAGTCAAAGACTTCTAAAATATTTCTTGGAAGCATTCCAGCTTTATTACAAAAGCAGTCTGGCTCTGTGAAGCTGGATAATCTACATACTCCTTAAACAAAAAATTAATTGGCAAGTTGCTAGTGAAGCTACGTTACCTTTAACAGAAAATACAGATGTATTTTCATGAGACCCAGGAACAAAAGTTGCTGCTTGAGTATCTTCTTCTGACTTCTGCTTTCTTAAATAATCATTTACAGCACACAAGACTAAATCTTGCAGTGTAAGTATTAAGGTCCCTTCACTTGTGTATAGTCTACAAGCCATCCTATTAAGTTCCAGCTGTTTTGTACATAAAGAAAGTAGCTGAGGAAGGGAGAAGGGGGAAACATTAACAATGTATATTTAAACTTGCTAATTGCAAATAAATAATACAATTTTTTTCATATTGTCCTCCTGAGTTATTACTACACTTATACCCTGCTTTTCATCCCAGGAGTCTGTCAGTGTACATGTACCAGAAGCATAATCACAGAGGAAATGTCATAACTGGATTTGTATATGATTCTTCCCAGTATTACCCCACACATAGTCCTCTACATTAAGGCCGCAGAATCTTTTCAGTCGCTATGCCCATATGTGACATTGTTTCAGGAACATACAGAGAGACATGGACAGCTTCTCCTCATGATGCAAACAGCAATCAAGGAGGGGATTTCCATGCTGTTACCATGGCATGAAAAGAAAGAGATAATCATCCTCCCTTAAGCTCTGTGGTTTGAACTCTGGCAAGTCATCCACCCACATGAATTTCTTATTTGTAAAAAATCATGGTTTTTAGATTCTGATATTAAATAAACACAAGTCATTAAAATGACCTCATTTAAGGGCAGGGGCTCAGCAGAAGATAAGATGAATATATGAAATAAATATGACAGCCTCCTCCCTCAATGAACTGAAAAACTGATCTCCCTGTGTTTCACTTCAAGGCAGATACCAGTTGACTCATTTAATTTGAAGAGTTTAATAGATTTCAGAAAGCACACAATCAACATATCTCTATTTCTCTCCCGGTGGGGTAATTCTACATCCTTTTTGACTGTCTGTTTCTTGAAGCAAACATTTTGTCATTTCCAAGTCATCTCTCCTTATGGAGAGTTACAGATCTTATATGCCATCTGCCATTCCCAGGCATTCTCTGTTTCTTTTGTGGGGTCAAGATACACTATCCAGGCAATCTGTGATGGGATAGCTCGGCAGTTTAACTTATATATTAAAGCCTCTCTAAAAGAAATAAATGTGAACTGTGTGAATTGTGCTGCATTTGTGGACCCCAATAAGCATCCCAATGCACTGAAGCTTAATGTTAGTGTTACAGTTAAATACAAACACTGGATAAAATGTATAAAAGTGTTATGCTTTATTTTTTATACTTCCTGACCACAGTGAAAATTCCAAAGGAGCTAACTTACTGATAACCAGAATAAGCCACTTCTGCTCCTTTGCATCATGGGTCACCAAAAATGGCATGAGAGTTTGGTTGTTCCAATTGATTATACTTTGGCAGAAACAAAAAAGCAGAGAAGGAATATTTTGATATTCTTCAATACAGTGGAGTTCTTGTTGGGATCAGGAAATACTACAGATTAAAAAGAGGCAAGTTTGCTTATCCTAGTGAAATGAGGTTTAAGAACTACTGTCTCCCAGAGACACAGTTTTAACTCTTGTAACTATTATAGTTTTACTTCTCTGTATTCTTTAAAAAAATCACAGCATTTTTTCTGTTTGTTTTCTTTTTCATTGGTATATTCGTTTTATATTGTGCTTCTGTTCTTATTGCAATCTTATGTTATTATTAGATTTTTCTTTATATTGTACAGCACACAGAGATACAGCGCACCCCATAGTGTATTTCATGAGGTGGTCATCCAGCCAATCAACATGTATCTCAACATGAAGGAGGTACACACAAATCAACTTTGAGATTTTTAGCAAATTGTAGAAATATCACATTTTCAGTTTGGTACATACAATAAAAGACATCCTTGTTATTATGCTCCCCATTCATGCCAGATCAAGAAAAAAATCCATATCAATCTCTTGTATGCTTTGGATGAGCCCTGCCTATCTGGTCCAAAAGGACCACTCCTTGTGGTCCTTGTTATTATGCTCCACATTCATGCCAGATCAAGAATAAATCCATAGCAATCTCTTGCATGCTTTGGATGGAAACTAAGACATACAGAGAAGAGGACAGACACATGTGGATCTACAGCAAAGTCAGAATTCCATGCAACAGGGAAATGTAGGTAGGAGTTTCCGGTCCATTTTGATCTCTGCCACTAGTACTCAATGATTGTCCTTGTCAGTTCCATTAGAACTATCTCTTTGAGTGAGATAGTGAGGTTACTCACCATAGGAAATGTATTAGCAATGATCAGCTGCCCATTTCGGTAACCAGCTCCATTTCTGTATGCCATTATTTTAACAGCTTTCTGGCTTACAGCTGCAGATATCTTTTCTGAGATGATCTGCAAAGAGGTTTCTGTCTTCAGAGATGCTAGAAATTCTTCTAAATAATGCAAGGTAGCTTCAGCTTCAGAGGTAGATAAGTCAGTCTGCAGAGGAAAAGCAAGATCCCATTTTGACTTTATTTTTGTAACAAAACCAATGACTTAAATAGTATGCCATCATTTCAAATTCAGGTGTTATATTTTATGGAAATGTATAAGATGTGAGTATACTGTATAGGCTGAACTAGGTTATATATCGTAGAGAACATGGAGTTGAACTTTTATGTTAAACGTTATTGAACATTATGCGTAATATACTTAAAGTGGTTCATGTTAACAATCCTTGTGAATACCCACATTTATTCACAGATCATCAGAATATTAATGAAAGAACTAAACTGCAAGATAAAGGATGAATGTATAAGCTAGCTCAGTAATTATTAATGAAAGAACTAAACTGCAAGATAAATGATGAATGCATCAGCTAGCTCAGTAATTACTAACTATCTAGTTGTCACTGAGCAAAGCAGCTTGTAGATTGACATAGGCCTTCTGTTGAACTGGTACTCTTGAATGAAGCTTATTGCCAGTTGTTCCACATGTTGAACGTTACCTTCACTCCTGATTATTTAATTACCCCTCAGCAAAAAATCATGCCTACATTACTTTATTAGGGTGTCAAGGTGTTCCTCCCCAAATTAAACTGCAGCGATACTAAAAACGAATGGCTATTCTGCCACTTATATTTAGGTCAATATTCCTCCAGCTACCTCCAAACAAGATTTTCTTTTCAAGTTCTCTTCTTACCTTTCTTATTCCAATCACCTTATTATGCCACATGTACAGATAGTAGGCCACAATTTTTAAAAAGAAACACTACCACAAACCTTGGTAACATCAAGGCACTTATAGGGCCACAGGGATAAATGTCTTCCTCCCTCTGAACCAGAGGCACAGAAAAACACAGTACCAGGAAGTAACTTTTTCAGTTCCTTCTTTCCTCTCAGAGTCCTTGCACAAGCCAAACATATCATTATCTTTTGCCTTCCATTTGGTGAAAGGAAATAGTAGCCCTAGAAAGAACAATGGTTGAAGCTCTTTAATATGAAACAATAGAATGTACAGTTGTTAACTTTGTATATGTATTAAAAATTCCAAACCTACTGGATATAAATAGCAACTTATTTGAATACAATACTTATCATTTTAATCCAATTTCCTAATTCTAAAATGTTGTGAATAAATAGATAAAGTTGTATTGTTACTAAATTGAAAACAAATGATGCATATTTATGGAACTGAGGAGTGTCTTTTAGCTTTATAGGAGGCTGCCATAGCTTTTGGAGATCCACCACACCTAAATTGGACCAAGAGTATGAGCGATTACTCCCTACAAAGCAATTATAGCTGGGCTCTCTGCTCAGAGACCAACAATAAGATGCCAGAGTCCTGCGTTATTGGCTCCACCCACACTGATGTTCTTAACTATTAAAAGCAGCGAAATGGCATGATCCCTCAGAGGAGTAACCGCAAGCCACTGTTACAATATATTGTATTTTAATTGTATTTTAATTGTTGTAAGCCGCCCAGAGACCTTTGGGTAGAGTGGGCGGCATATAAGTTAAATTAATTAATGAATTAATTAAATAAAATATCTAAAGTTATATAAGTTAAATAAATAAATTAATTAAATAAAATATCTAAAGAGCACTATGTTTTATTTGGCTGACACTTCCAAATGAAATTTGAGAATAATTTTATCATGGCACTTCTGTGCTCTTGCACTTATTACATTCACAAAAGCGTGATTTGTCAAAAAGAATTTTCCCACACCTTGGTAAACAAAAACAATATACCGTGCCACTGCATAACACTCAAAAATGCTGCTTGCTTCTTATTGTGCAGTAAACTGACTTGATCTGTGCTGCAAATAAGACAACATTCTTTAGATTTACACCCTTCCTCATTTGGCAGTGCAACTTTTGGTGCAAAAGATATAGCATAATATACATTTTTAAAAAGTAAACCACATTAAGGAATATGCACTTTGAGATGAATTTATTTAGAAATCTGCATTCTGAGCATTGATTTTTATATAAGCTTTTTTTAAAATAGCAGATTTTTGTGGCATAAATGCGCACTGGTAAAACTGACACCAAATGGAAATATACTGATTTAGTCATCCTTACCTAAGATAATACAGTATATGAATCATATTATTTCTTCCTGTCCTTTCTATTAACTGAAGAGGAGTTATATGTATTATACTGATAGCAAGAGTATGGCTGAAAGTCTTAGCATAGTTAAGTTGCAATAGGCTAGGCTCATTGAATCAGTGGGATTTGATAAGTCAACTCCTCCGTAAGTTCCACTGATTCAAATGGGCTTTCTCTAATGCAACATACTATATGAAGCAACAGGATTTCAGGCACAGATCTCTATTTCTGTTGGGTACAAATGTGCAGTTATATAAAGGAATTCTTCATAATCATTCTTCTGCCTCAGTGAAGTAGAAATAAAAAATACTTACTGGTTGGTCTATCTTCTCTGTGTTGGCTACAGAAAATGTGCAAATAAAAGAACAATTTGCTGCTGTAATTTCTTGGTCCAATATTGTGCTGTGGAAGGCATTCAAAACCTTTGTAGTTTCTGTGTAATTCCACTTCTGATTGGCAGCACCATTTTTAAATTCTTTGTACTTCTGTTGAAACAATATATTTTCCATGCTATTTGATATCTGTTTATACGATCTGTATAAAATGGATTTCATAAATTTGCTAAGAAATGCACTCCCTTACTTTGGGCGGAGGGGACATTGTTGATATTTGACAGTATTGTACATACAATTGCAACTTGTATCATTAATAAGCATACTGACTGGGAGTCCACGTTCACTAAAGGATAAGCAGAAAATTGTGAGACATCTTCCCCCCCCATGTCATCAGCATTTTGCCTCTAGTACTCCTCCATGTATCATTAATAAGCATACTGACTGGGAGACCACGTTCACTAAATTGGGTAGGTAAGGCATTTCCTGTGGAGGTTTCACACTGTGTATAGACACAGAAGGAGCCTTTGCAAAGAAGGTGAGGTCTGTGAACAGATTCAGGCATCCATTAGGCATTCATCCCTGACCGTTTCTTCCACTCTGTATGCTCCACTGTATTGCCACCCCCCCCACACACACACACGGATAGAGATATGAATTGGTATGCATAGTAAATGACTACACAAAAGTCTTTGACTGTGTGGACCACAGCAAACTATGGCAAGTTCTTAAAGAAATGGGAGTGCCTGACCACCTTATCTATCTCCTGAGAAATCTATAAGATTGCCGGAAGAAATCTCAACAATCTCCGATATGGAGATGATACCACTGTGATGACAGAAAGTGAGGAGGAATTAAAGAACTCCTTAATGAAGCTGAGGCTCCAATACTTTGGCCATCTCATGAGAAGAGAAGACTCCCTGGAAAAGAGCTTGATGTTGGGAAAGTGTGAAGGCAGGAGGAAGAAGGGGTCGACAGAGGATGAGATGGTTGGAGAGTGTCACCAAAGCTACCAACATGAATTTAACCAAACTCCGGGAGGCAGTGGAAGACAGGAGGGCCTGTTGTGCTCTGGTCCATGGGGTCACAAAGAGTCGGACACGACTTAACAAGTAAACAACAACAACTCCTGGGCAAAGAATATGGACTAGTTAAAATCAAAAGGAAAGGAAGACAACCTTTGCTTGATGTTAGTTTCAGTATATAAATCTGCTTATCAGTCTCATTCAGGATTTGGCAAAGTCTCCAGGATGGCCAAATGGTTGAGACATCTGTCAAGTTCAATTCAGTATGCAAAGAGTAGGGGATCTTACTTCAAAACTGGGTAGGTAAGGCATTTCCTGTGGAGGTTTCACACTGTGTATAGACACAGAAAGAGCCTTTGCAAAGAAGGTGACGTCTGTGAACAGATTCAGGCATCCATTGGGCATTCATCCCTGACAATCACCATTTCTTCCACTCTGTATGCACCACTGTATTGCCAACTACACACACACACACACACACACACACACACACACACACACACATACACACACACACGGATAGAGATAGGAATTGGTATGCATAGTAAGTGACTGGGTTTCTATTGGCAGTGATAAATTGGATATTTGCCAGAATAGTCTGTTAAAACAGTGAAGGGGGTGAACAGAATGTGTGTGAGTGGAACTGTGTGCAAGTCAGGCACCGATAGGTCCAGCAAGGAACATCCTGTGTTCATTTACTGGTCCTTAATTACTATAGGCCAATGGAAGGCATCAGTGGAGGAGAAACTAGCATGGAATTGGACACACAGTTCTGAAGTATAAAAACATAACCTTGCCAAAACAGCTGGTCAATCAGCTGGAGTCAGTTAGGAAACATCCCAAGGGAAGAGAAACCAGTAAGGGGATGAAAACAAAGGGAGCACAAGCGGGAGCAGCAGCTACAGAAACAGCACTAAGAGATGTAGAAAGTGAGAGGGGAAAATAGAATGCTAGCAAACAGGAATGAGCCAAAGAGAAAGACAGAAGGTGAGCTGAAATATCAGGAGGCAGAAGCTGAGAAGATTTGCAGCACTGCTGGGGACTACTGTGACTCTCCAGAGCCTAGATGTTGGAGCATCTCCTATCACCACTGACCATTATGCCAGTGGTGAGGGACAGTGGGAATCAAAACCCCATAACATCTGGAGGGTCAGAGTTGCTCACCCTGGTCACAGGGAGGGGAAGACATCAACAGCAGCCCTACCAGAGAGCTGAAGCCACTTTAGGCAGAAATCAGCAGTTATGTTCAGGAAGTTGTGTCTCTTAAGAGAGCAGTAAATTAAAAAAAAACCCTTCTGCGCAGAATCCTCACTGGAGAGATCATGATAGGAGTGAATGCTGCAAGCTTAAACATCTTGAACAAATCTATGATTGTCATTTGAGGAACAGTCTGAATAAGAGCATGGATTTCCTTTAATATTCTGAAAATATAGAATCTAGCCATGTTTAAAACATGCTTAGAGGGGACTGACTAGCCCCATCATCACTATCATTGCTTTCTTCACTGTGTCCTAAGGGGAGAGGGTTGTGCTTGCCTGTAGGGTCTCCAAACAAGCAAAAAGTAAGATTTTCTTACCTGTGTGTAACAGCCTAACTTTTTAATATTTTCTTTAAGACACAACAATTTTAATCAAGCTTTCTATAACTCATAATTTAGTATCTAATGTTAAATTATTTTTAGCATTGTAGTAGATTTTAATTAAGACTGATATATTTGGTTCAAATGTAAAATAAATCTACTGGTCTATCTCATGCTTATAACCTTGACCAATTATTATGCTACGCAGTTGGGGCTGGTGGCACAGAAGATGTGATATGGGGACCAGGTACATTTACACACACAAAGTTACACTGTGGTGAGGGTTATTCCTGAAGTATAAATGTTTCACATGTAGAAGTCGAGTTTGCCACATCTGGTGGCAATTATATGCAGATCCATGAAATCAAATTACTTAAGAAAGTTTACCTGAAGAACAACCGAACACCCTTGCATTTCCAGTGGACGCTTTGGATAGCTGCTTAGTATGTTGGGCATTGATACTGCTAGCACTAGATCTGGGTCACTTGCAAGATGAAATGTCCTGGGGAAGAAAAAAGCAGTCACAGACCAAGGATTTTTTAAAAAATTATTTGCTTGCTGAATGGTTCACTCTTAAATTGCTATGCTGAATTTTTTTTTAGGATTGCTAGTCTTGCCCTGGTTTCACACAATACCCAGCATCTACATTTTCACTTACCTCCATCTGATCATAGACACCACATTCAGTATGAGCTAGTGCAGTAATGGAAGTTTCTTCCATGAGGATTTCAACTCTTCTTAATACATTTGATAGGAAACCTTATACTGCCTTATTATAGAAGCAGAAAATGTTGCTTAGTGTAGTAAGTTGTAATTAAGGTAGGCCCACTGAGTCACTGAAATTACAGAGAAATTGACTTATCAAATCATCATTGATTCAATGATCCTCCCCAGTTGCAAATTACTATACTAGATCAGGATCACTAAAGAGGATCTCAACCATTGTTTGCACTTCAGAAACAAGCAAAATGGAAGACGCCTTGCTCAATGGAATCTCAGATGATGAAAACATGAATGCTAAAAATGCAATGCAAATCTTGTGAGATTCTGTTACATTTCTATCAATGAACGTGTACCTGCTATTCTCCCTCCATATCCAGTGCTGATTAATAGCATCACACTTCTTTTCCATCAGAACCACCTCAGTGCCAGAATGCATATCTGAATTCTCAACACCCAACAGAAGATTTGGAAATTGACTGTTGATAATTTTCCCATTCCTTAACTCAAACTGTTGGTGATAATTTTTTTGTAATTCTCCAGTCAGTTTAGGCTGATGGCTGAAATCAAATGAAAAGACATTTAGTTCTTACTCTGTCGCTTTCTCCTACCCACCCCAAAAACTTTATGAACCTCGTCTTGTATGACAAAAAACAGCAAGACAAATGGGGAAAGCAGAATTTTGTTTATTTGTGTAACTTGCACTTTTGACCATTAAAGTTGGTGAGAAATTGGGATGGTAGGCAAATGATTGTGGAGAAGGGAAGTCTATGCAAAGTGTAGAAAGATATCAGGGAAAAAGCAGAGAAAAGTTTATTGATTTTCATAAAATCAGTTTTCTAGACAGCACACAGGAGTAAATACAACTTTTATTTTTCTCTGACCTTATGTGAAACTTGGGAAACAAGAAAGAGAAATTTCACTGAAGGCCAGTTACTCTGTTCAGCCTGGTTTGATTTTAAACAGCCATGCTAGTCCGCACTATTAATGGACAGAGCAAAGAAGGAACAAATGATATGTAACAGGGAGATGGAAGGGAACAATGAGACCCTGTACTATAGTAACCTATGAAATGGATAGATCTTGGGATATAATATTTCTGGTGACATTTTGACAGTGGCTTTTAAGCAATTGTAGTTTTCATACAATTTCCCCCTTTCACTTGGAAGCCAAGTTAATGTCTTCCATATCCTATGAATTTCCTTCTCTTCTATACTATGATATAATATTGTCAGCATTCTTAGAAAATATTTGTGTGGCATTCAGAATCTAGGTAGTGGTGGGAATCTTAGGCAATTAGGAAAGTAATAAGGGATATGCATAAAGCAGTCTCAGTTATTTCCTACGCCATTAAGAGAGGGATAACTTTACTGTGCAGTCTTTCATGGGGGGGGAGGAATACATATTTTGTGGAATACAGATTTTAAAATGGAGTCACATTAGGAATAGATATTTATTGTTTCCATTGCAGGGAAAACATGATATATATGTAATTACTGCTGTTTCATCATAGCTGAGTGAGGGTACTTTTACATGGCCAGAAAAACTTTAATTCTAAAGTTTTAAAATCAGATCCCCCTGATTTCTGTGGGTGAAATTACTTGAGTTATCTATACGAATACAAACAATGATAATCTTGTAGCAGCCAATAGGGTAAGAGGTTGAGAAATCAGATTGGCAATTTCCACTGGGACCACTCCTTTCCTTCACCTCTTTTTAATTTCTTTTAATTTTTCTGAAGCAACACAGCATTAATCTGATGCAGCACTAGCTTTGGAAGGCATAAAAAAGAAATAAGGAAATAAACACCGTTTGGAGATAACAGACACATGGTTGATGGGAACTGATACATTTAAGATTATTCCTTTGCATGGGATTAGGCGATCACACAAGGCAAAAAAGTGAAGTACAGCAATGCCAGCCAAATCAGAGAAAAATAAACCACCTCCTGCCAGCTGAACAAAAACAGACACTGAAAAATACTGAGCTTGCCTGTGCTTAGCCTTATGTTGTGTAGTCACCTGTTTTTAATTTAATTTCGCCCATGCCAATTCTGATGGAAACTGTTAGGTAGATGGCCAATGTAGTCGCCCCCTAAGTCACTGAAGTGCAAAAGAAGTGAGAGCACCTCACCATGCACAAAACAAATATCTGACCTGCATTTATGTAATTCTGCATCTTCAAAGAGCTGCTCCTCTTTCTCTTTCTGAGAGCTGCAGTCCTCATCAAAATCACAGGAAATATGCTGCCAGATATATTTGGTAGATTTATAACATGCATCTGCTTTAAGATGAGATTTTGCATGTGAATTCCTGAAAAAGTCAATATAAAATGTAGAGCACTGGTGCTCGTTACTACTTTAAATGTTACATGAAGGTTTGAATCAATAATTAAACCTGCATTTTATAAGGAGATTAACAGCTAAAACAATTAGAGTTTTATCCTTGTGTCAATGGGAGTTTAGAATGAATCAATACCAGGGCTGAAACACTGCACATATTTAGGCTCCTTAAATCCACAGTGGATAATGCCAGCTAAACTGTGTGCAGAGCCACAGCCCAAATAGTTTAAACTGGAGATCTACAGTCTTAAAAACAGTGTAGTCACCAGTGTTTCATTACCTGAAACTGCAGTTGCCAACACTACCAGTCAGGTTGTGTTAACAGAGGTAGAAGCCCAAATGTTTTAACTCTACTTTGCAAGATCTGTTTGGGTTAGCACTGGATTTTAGGTTTTACATTTTGAGAAGAAAAAAGTGGTGTTGTACATTTAAAAAAAAACCAGAGGAAAGTAGAAGAATAATCCCAGCATATATGCTAGGACTTTTTTTTCCATGATAAGCACAATTTGTGATTATAAACAACAAAGACCCTTGCATCATCCCAGTGGCTAACCTAATAACTGCAATGTCAGTTTTTGTGAATGACTAACCACTTCATCGGGTGCATGACTGATTATCTCTTGTTCATATTGCATGTGTGTGAAGGAGGGGTAAATGTTTTGCAAATAGTGGGGTCAACAGCAGTCTATGAAGAACAATCTGCAGCATTTAATTGCAGTACACAAAATAAATACAATGAGCATTCACAACCACAAATGTTTCTGTAATTTTGAGAGTTCCATGTGGGATGTGTGCCAGGAGTGACAGTTGTAAGTTGAGAAGTGCAAAAGAAAGTTTATGAATGGAAAAACAAAATGGCCTCCAGGGTGGAATTTGAAACATACGGTCCTGACTTGCATTTGCAGCCAGTTTTTTTGTAACTCATTTTTAAGAAACAGACCTGGCACAGACATCTGCCATGACTTGGGAGACTTTCATAATTTTTTCCTGTACTATCCACAATATATGGGTGCACAGTCTGAGGAAGACCATGATACATCAAAAGATATAAATATTAAAAAATTTAGTGGTCTAATAAATGTACCACCTGCCCTTGTTTTTGTTTTATGAATGGAATTATGAGCTTATTGGTCTGTATGGCTCCTGGCTGAAGAGATTGTGTTTGTACATAAGGGAGTTAGAGTCGGTTGGAGCTATGAGTTAGAATTGAAAGAGTTTAGAGTGGGGGGAAAATTAGCTGTCAGGGACTTCAGAATGAGTGTAGTCTGTTTTGAGAAGAAGTGAAGAAAAGTGTGCCCTCATCAGCACTTGTGTCAAAGCAAGCATAAGTAACAAAATGTGCTTATGCTATAAAGAAGAAAAGCAAGTAACTTAGATTGTATGCTGAAAAAAACTGACATGGTGAAACAGTGTTCCTATAGTTTAGTCTGTTCACTGAACCTTTTTATTCCTTCGTGATTTTTTAAAAAAATAAAACCCATTTTCATTTATAAACCCTCATTATCTCATAGATAGCACTCATAAGGTATTATACCAATGTATACAACTGGGTTGATTCCCAGTGTGTTGCAATGGATAGAGTGATAGACTAGGACTCTGGTGAAGAGGATTAAAATCCCTGCTCAGACATGGCAACTCACTGGGGAAGTTGAACTGGTAAAAACACTCCTTAAATATCTCACTTATCTTAAAAGCTCTATTAGGATTTGCTTATTTATTTATTGGATTTCCATCCCACCCATCTAGACCAAAGGTCTACTCTGGGCAGTTTACAAATTTAAAACAATAAAACCAAAAACATATATTATAGGTCCAAGATGGCGAAGTACAAGAAATTAAGACATGGCAGGAGGGAAAGCTGGCCCAAATAGCCAGGTTTATGGCGAAGTACAAGAAATTAAGACATGGCAAGAGGGAAATAAAACACCCAGAAAGGGAGCCAGGCAGATCTCCACTGTCAAGTTGTTCCAAAGGCAAGGGGCCTATTGCCGAGAAGGCCCCATTCCTCGTCCTTACCCTCTGGACCTCCCTCAGCGTCTGGCCCCTCAGCCGCCTGGCCTGGCTGGAACGAGTAACTCTGGCAGAACCGGGTGGGAGAAGGCACTCTGCCAGATATCAAGGTCCTAAACTGTTTAGGGCTTTATATGTAATTGTAAGAACTTTGAAATCAACGCGGAAATGAACGGGCAGCCAATGCAAGGCGGCCAGTGTGGGGGAAATATGTTGGCACCTTTTCACCCCTGTAAGAAGTTTGACCACTGCTTTTTGTACCATCTGAAGTTTCTGTGTCAGTCTCAAAGGCAGCCCCACACAGAGTGTATTGTTGCTATTTAGTCATTTAGTCGTGTCCGATTCTTCGTGACCCCATGGACCAGAGCACGTCAGGCCTTCCTGTCTTCCACTGCCTCCCAGTGTTGGGTCAAATTCATGCTGGTAGCTTCGATTACACTGTCCAACCATCTTGTCCTCTGTTGTCCCTTTCTCCTCCTGCCTTCACACTTTCCTAACATCAGCATCTTCTCCAGGGAGTCTTCTCTTCTCATGAGATGGCCAAAGTATTGGAGCCTCAGCTTCAGGATCTGTCTTTCCAGTGAGCACTCAGGGTTAATTTCCTTTACAATGGATAGGTTTGTTCTCCTTGCAGTCCAGAGGACTCTCAAGAGCCTCCTCTAACACCACAATTCAAAAGCATCAATTCTTCAGCGGTCAGCTTTCTTTATGATCCAGCTTTCACTTCCGTACATCATTATAGGAAAAACCATAACTTTCACTATTCAGACTTTTGTCGGCAAGGTGATGTCTCTGCTTTTTAAGATGCTGTCTTGGTTTGTCATCGCTTTCTTCCCAAGAAGCAGGCGTCTTTAAATTTCGTGGCTGCTGTCACCATCTGCAGTGATCATGGAGCCAAAGAAAGTGAAATCTGTCATTGCCATTACAGTAGTCTAATCTTGAGACTACGAGTGCATGGCCCAAAGTGATGAGCGTCCCCCACATCAAGATAGGAACGCAGCTGGGCAATCTGCCAAAGGTCGAAATGTGTGGAACAGACCACTGACAACACCTGGGTCTCCATGGTGAGCGCCATGTACATCCAAACCACAAACCTCACTCTTTGTGACTGACAACACCTGGGTCTTCATGGTGAGCACCATGTACATCCAAACCACGAACCTCACTCTTGGTTTTAAGAGTCACCCTGCCCAATGGAAAGGGAGTTTCCCAGACCACTGATGTCTGGGACACCTACCCAAAGGATCTCTGTCCTGCCCAAGATGTCTGGGACACCCACCCGAAGGATCTCTGTCTTGCCCAAATTCAGCCTCAGTCCATTCCCCTGCATCCATAGCTGAACAGCCCCCAAGCAGCATTCAAGGGACGAAACAGCATCCACTGTTGTTGGAAAAAAGGAGATGTAGAGCTGAGTATCATCAGCATACTGATAGCATGAAGCCCCACATCCCCTGATGACCCCTACCAGCGGTCTCATGCAGATGTTAAACAGCATTGGATGTTAAACAGCATTGGCAAGATAATCGAGCCCAATTGAGGAGCCACAGGCCGAGCAACTCTCCAATCTGCACTATGTAGGGTTGCTATAGATTGGTTCCGACTTGATGGCACAGAACAACAGCAAAATACAACTGGTCAGTGGTGTTACACATGGTTTATGTAGCAAAGGGGGGGGGAATGCCACGTGGTCCTTGTACATAAACCAAAGACAAGGATGGCGATCCCTCTTTTAGACCAGTAACAAAAAACACAAAGAAAGGCAGCTTTCGGTTTGTATAGTCCAAAAGCTATGATTTATGCAGTGTTACCAAAATAATCAAAACTGTATTTCACCAAAACATTCTTACTTTTTGAAGAGCACTGGCAGGGATTCAAGAGAAGGAGTCCCTGTTCAGAAGTTTAAATGGCAACCTAAAATTTAATGAAGGGGGTTTGGGGATGGTTGTTTGGGCAGCAGTACACACAAGTAGTGAAGGCATTTGGATGCTGTAATTACAATTAAAACCATCAGTGTTTAGAATAATGTTCCATAAAATAACAAACTGACTTAGCAGATAAAATAGAATCAGATAGCCAGTAAATTTTATCTGTCCAATAATAAAACAAAGATAAAATACCCAGAGGTGATGGTTTCAGCTCAATTAATTTGAGCTGAAACCATCACCTGAAACCTGAGCTGAAACCAATTAATTTGAGCTTTCAACTTATTCATTTTACTCACTAGCAACCTTGCCAACATACAACCATAGTCTCCCTAAATCTTGTGAGAAACACAGATGTCATATTTTTTCTGACAATATTTTTAATAATGTCACCTAAAACTTTAGAACCACCTGATGCACCCAATAGTTTCCCATTCTGTTCCATGCCAAACTCTTGCCAGTATTGCTTCTACTGTATTTCCAGACACCATAAATGGCAATGTACAAAAACTTGTAGGAGAAAACTTCGTTCTCCTGGAACACTCTATTTGGTCATAGAGTGAGCTTTCTTGACAAAAGAACAATTCCAACAGAAAACAGCTGAACAAGAATTCATTAAGAAGTTAAACTCTTATCTCTTCTTCCAGACTGAATAATGATAAAAACTTTTTATCTCACTACATCTGTTATTCAGCTGATCACTGCAAGGATTTCTGAGTACCCACCAAACTCTATACTTTTTCCAATCTTTCTCTTGCCACTGATTTTACATCCGACTATTCTATACATCGAAGGATGTGTGTAATAATTTGCCAACTCTGACCATACTCCACACGTCAGATGATGTGGCATGTGGTGTATTAAAACATATGCTTCATAACACAGTGGTTGAACTGCTGTATTGAAGCCAAAATTCCACTCATGACCTGGGTTCAATCCCAGGTAACCAGCTTGAGGTTCATTCAGTCTTCCGTCCTCCTGAGGTCAGTAAATGGGGTATCCAGCTTGCCATGAGGAAGGGGAACAATGTGTAGCCTGC